GAGATCTACTTTTGGGCACAATATGAGCTGAAACGGCGGGTATCACTTGGGAATGTTCCCTCGTTAGTATGATTTGTCTTAAGTCATATGATTAGGATTAGACCTATCAGTTAGAAGGATACTGAAGTTTTCGAACTTGTTGCCTTACCTTCAACGATTCCATCGTGACTTATAACAAACAATTTGTTATGTACATTAGAAAAAAAAACAGAACAATGATTAACACAAAAAGATACGCGAGCAGACGAAATGTTTTGATACTGCACACATTTGAAAAATACTATTAGTTCAGCTGGTAGATATGAAAATAATTGTTTGATTATCTTTAAATAGCTCGATCGTATATATGAAGACATAGTTTGTTTTTTTTTTGACTTTTTTAATTTCAATTCGAACAAAAAAGTGAATATGAGTATTGTTCTATATCTTTTCTTCATATGTTATTCATAAGACTTAAAATAATTGAATTATTTATTTTATATGTATATGAAAAGAAAATTATTGAAATAGAATTTATTTAGATTCAAACACTTGATAAAATTCTTATTTATGAAGCACCAGGTGATGTTCCACATGATATGAAATATAAAACAACATTTAAAATCAATAAAAATATTGAATGTAGTTCAATGATTGTAACATCATCATATATTATAACATGTCAAGATAAACGTTTACATTGTTTTAATTTTTCTGGTGAAGAAATACGTGTTTGGTTTGTATTTACAACAAAAATAGATTTTTTTTTTATGTCTTAACTTTAATGATTTATTTTAGGCAAATGGATAGTCCAATACGTTATTTAAAATTAATTGGTGGTCCATCAGAATATGAATCTGTATTAATTGGATTAAAAAATGGTGGTGTTTATCAAGTATTTGTTAATAATCCATTTCCTCAATTATTAGCTAAACAAAATAGTGTTATATATTGTGTTGATATGAATGTAAATCGTACAAAAGTTGCAATTATTGATGATACATTAACACTTTTTGTTTATAATGCTCGAACAAAAGAATTACTTTATCAAGTATAAAAATAAAAAAATATTGAACAAATTTTTTGTATTTTTTTTGTTGTCAAAGGAACCAAATGCACAAACCGTAGCTTGGAATATTTCATTTCCTGATATGCTTGCATTTTCAGGTGATGGTTTTATTAATATTAAAGTAGCTGATTTTCCAGTTTATAGACAAAATTTACAAGTAAGTTAATTTGTTTCTTATAAAAATATGAAAAAAAAAACAATAAAGAAGAAAAATCTAGGTACCTATGATTGATGCTGAAGTATCGGTAAAAATAAAAAAAAATTAAATTTTATTTGTTTGTTTGAATATTAACATATTTTGAATATAACTTAAATTTGTTTTTTTTTTTCTCTTGTGTGATTATATATTTATATATCTAGCGTTCTTTAACTAATCATATTCGTCATTTATATGAACATAAATCTCAAAGAGTATGTAAATTAAAAAATAACTATTAGATTATTCATGCATGACTATTAATATAAATATTTTTTTTGTCTTTTTCTTGACTTCAAAAAATTGAATTATTTTTATAATAAATTTAATTTTGTTTTTTTTTTTAAGGGTCTTATTGTTGGTTTTAATGGTTGTACTATATATTTATTACATTTATGTACTATGAGTGGTATAACTGTTCCAGTAACAGATGCTGTTTATCGTTATATGGGAAAAAGACAACTTGAGTAAAAAATTTAATTTTGATTTTAATGAAAATAATGAATTTTTTTTTGTGTTTTCTTTTAGTAATGCATATCATTTAGCATGTTTAGGTGAAACAAGTAAAACATGGGAAGCATTAGGACATGCTTGTTTAGAACAAGGACAATTTAATTTAGCAAAAAAATGTTTTAGTCGTATAAGAGATGTGAAATATTTGAATTTATTAGCACAATTTGAAGTAAATAAAATATAAAATTTTTAACAAAAGATAATATTTTTTTTTTTAAAAGGAAGCAACAAAACGTGGTGAAAATAAAATGAATATTTATCTTGGAGATTATTATGCATATAGTGGTCGATTTCAAGATGCAGCAAGAAATTATCAACATGGTGGAGCACCTGAACGTGCAATGACTATGTTTTCAGATTTACGAATGTTTGATCAAGCTAAAGTAAACTTGACGAAAAAAAAAAATTGTTAATATCATATAAATTTTTAGGAATATATGGTAGCAGGTGATATGGATCAACAAAAATTATTAAATAAACAAGCTGAATGGGCTATTACAATGAATGAACAACGTCGTGCTGCTGAATTATTTGTCGCTGCTAATGATTATCAAAAAGCAATTGATTTAGCTGGAAAAAATAAATGGACTGATTTGTATGTGAATAAAAAAATTTGAATTATTTTAAGAGTATTTAAGGAACTTCTGTTTGTTTGTTTTTTTTTGACTAAAATAGAAGAGTTAAATTATATTATATGATTCTTACGAAAATTGGTATAGAAAAGTAGATATGTTCGATCCCGAGTAATCGATTATTTCTTAAAAACTACAATGATTTAAACTAAAGTATAGGGAGATTATTATAAGAAGAAAAACTCATCTTTAAACATTGACAAATGATTTTTCTTTCGCATGCAAAAGTCTTGTTTCTGAAAACAGTGACGTACCCAGGATTTTTTTCAGTATGCTGAATCTCAATTTCCGGGCACGGGACCCACATGAAACTCATGGAGGGTGATGTTGGTTCCAAATAATGGAATTTTAACAAAAAAAATTTATACTCGAAGTTTGCGAAAAAAATTAGCATTTTCCTGATTTCCCCCTCGAGGACTTTTTGCTGTTAGTAGTATCATGGTTTTTAGAATTTCATAGGAAGCTACACCAAATTTCATCGATAGATTTCAAATGTCGTTTAAAAATATGCAACCGTTCTAGAGTTATGACGATTTGAAATTTTGCAAAAATTGTTTTCACATGTAGCAAAAACTCAAAAAGTTATAACTCTTGAACGTTTGCATATTTTTAAACGACATTTGAAATCTATCGATGAAATTCGGTGTAGCTTCCTATGAAATTCTAAAAACCATGATACTACTAACAGCAAAAAGTCCTCGAGGGGGGAATCAGGAAAATGCTAATTTTTTTCGCAAACTTCGAGTGTAAATTTTTTTTGATAAAATTCCATTATTTGGACCCAACATCACCCGCCATGAGTTTCATCTGGGTCCCGTGCTCGGAAATCGAGATTCAGCATACTGAAAAATCCTGGATACGTCACTGTCTGAAAACAAAAGTTATATACATCTCAACTACTATGATTTATCCTACAGAACAACTTAACAATTTATATAGATAATAATAGTTAAAATGCCAAGTTATAGCGAAATTTCTCACAGAATTTTCAAGCCGGACTTTGAACCGAGTCAATATTCCTCTAGGACTTCCGACCTATGATCTCATTGACTTCTAAAATAAAAAAACTTATCTTTTTACATTAGTAACTGGATATCATAGTGCCGAGTAGGACGTCATAATGGGTCTGGAAGTAGGATACAGGTATCTAAGTCTTCTTTTAATGGATACCCACACCCACTATAACGTCCTGTTCGACACGACGACATCTAGCTATTAATTAAAAAAGATTAAGTTTTTTTATTTTATCGGTCAATGAAGTTACACACCGAAAGTCCTAGAGAGAATTTCGGTCTTCTATGAAAACAAAATCCTTTGAAATTAAATTTCATATATTGGATTCGGTTCTGAAAATTTTGAACACGACGAACTGTATATGTCAGTACAATAGACTGCCTTTTTTTTTCTTTTGTACTAATGTTTTTGATTTTTAAAATTTAGATTAGCATCAATAACAAGTAAATTAGATAAATCTCAAATAGATCTTTTACGACGTTGTGCACGTTATTTTGTTGAAATGAAACAATATACATATGCTGCTGATGTTTATGAAAAAATGGGTGATATTAAATCATTACTTGATATGCGTGTTATTTTATCTCAATGGGATGAAGTATTTATCTTAGTTCGTCGTTATCCAACATATGCATCTGATGCATATTATCATTATGGTCAATATTTAGCTGAACATGATCGTTTTGTTGATGCACAACGTGCATTTCATAAAGCTGGTCGTGTTAATGAAGCACGAAATGTTTTACAAGCATTAACAAATAATGCTGTTAATGAAACACGTTTTAATGATGCTGGATATTATAATTGGTTATTATCAAAAGAATATTTAATTGCATTAAGTGAAACATTAAATGATGATTTACGTGCTGATTTATATAAACGTTATCATCGTTGTTCATTATTAGCTGATCTTTATTATGCATATCAATATATATATGAATATACAACAGAACCATTTGTTGATACACCACCTGTTATATTATTTAATATAGCACGTTTTATATATCATAAATTAGCTAATTTAGCTGGTGATATACCACCAGCATTATCAAAATTTCGTACATGTTATGCTGCATGTAAAATAGCTAAAATTTTAAATGCTAATAAATTTAGTCGACAAATGATTTATTTAATGCGTGATTTAACATTTACACATAATTTAGGTAATAAACGTATTGAAATAGAACAATTAGCATTAGAAATGGAAGCACGAACATTTAGTGATGATCATGAATTATTACCTTTATGTTATCGTTGTTCACATCATAATGAATTATTAAATGTACGTGGTAATGAATGTTCAAGTTGTGGAAGTCCATTTGTAAGTTAAATTATTTTCTAAGAAACACAATATAAAAGGATTATTGAAATATATGGATAGAAATTTGTACTCCTACCTAGGCAGCTGTAGATCTATTCCGACCCGGACTCGAACTTGGACCAGGATCTGGGTCTAAAATTTAATTTATTGTTGAGCTCGCGTCCAAAAAAACGTGGATCTGCAGCTCTCTACTTCATAGATATGACAAATACCTTAGGATCGCCTCTCTACTGTCACAGATCGTGGCACAAAAATTGAGGACTATCTCTGACTTTCAACTTCTTTGTGGTATAGGTTGCTGTTAAAACGATAGATTCAATTGTCCGGTATCTTTCATAACACTGATATTAGTTCTAGCTCTTGATAGAAGACCGATCTGAGTTTCCCATACATACTAACTAATCACAAGAGTATTAATATGTAATCACATAGTTGACAGATGATCGGACGAATAATTCGAGACAAACAGGCGTTAATGACTTGTTCAGAGTCATTTAATGACGGATGGTACTACGGTTTGAACGCAGTTCTATATGAATACGTGATTATAACAGTAAGATCGAATTTCATACCGTGAGTAGGAATTCATAAAGCAAAAAATATATGTTGATTAAACCCGTCTTTGATAATACTAGCGTAGTTTCATAATGATTTAATTCAATAGAAATTTTTATTTCTAGGTTCTTTCATTTCTTTCATTTGATGTTCTACCATTGGTTGAATTTATTCTACCATCGGATATAAGTGATGAAGATGCTTTAAATCTTCTTGAACAAGTACCAAATAGTCAATTAGAAAATCCTACATCATCATCAACAAAAATAAATCAATCAACAACAAATCGTCTTGTTATAACTGAACAAGGAAATACAACACGTGCTGAAGATAAAGATCCATTTTTAAAAAAAATGAGTAAATATAGTTCAAATCCAGATGAATATCGACCTGTTGTTGTTGATCGTGCTTTACTTAAAGCAATGGATCCATCACTTGTTTTTGTTTGTAAATGGCCATTTCCATTAAGATGGAAATGGTATAGAATTATTGTACCTGAACAACCTGTTGGTCGATGTAGACATTGTAATAAAGTAAATATTAATTATGAATATAATAATAAAGTAAATTATATATTATTTTATATTTTTATAGTTTTTTCATAATGATGAATTTGAATTAGCTTTATTAGAACAAAGTGGTTGTCCATTCTGTCGTAATAAAAAAGATAGTGATACGATAGGTAAATATATTTTATTAATAAATTTTTTTAAAGATTTATTTTTCATTAAAATAATATTTCATATATATGTTGTGGTCGAAATTAAAATTCAGCCAATTTTAAATTTGCCCAGGCAAAATTGAAATTTTAATTTTGTCCAGACGAAATTGAAATTATAATTTCGTCCGATATGTTCTTAGTCAAAATTAAAATTTTAATTTCGTCCAGACGAAATTAAAATAGTGCTCCGATGAATAGAAAGTAGTTAAGAAAGAAACATTTAAAGTATAAACAAATTTTTTTTTATTTTACAATCTTTATTTAATACACACAATATGAGTCCTAAATTAGTTTAGTGCATGTTTGAACACCCACCCCTCTTCGAATGACATTTGGTTGAGCAGAAAACGTTTTCTTTTTTACATGGACATGATTTTGTTGCACACTTGCCCTGACAATTACAAGTTCGGTCAGTTGTAGAACCACGAGAATAAAGTTTTGAAGCTTCAATGATGGTGATTGGCTTTAAAGTACTAACATCAATTTGTTTCAATTCATTGGGACAAGCATCTTTTAAATTCATAAATTGTCCGGCTTCAAATGTGTTTTATAAAATACCATATTGACAAATTAATTTATATAAAGAAATATTATTTTTTTCGTTTTTTTCAATAATTAAACATGGTAAATATTTTGGATCGGTATTTGTTCTATCAACCGTATGAATTGCAATACCAACACAATCATTTATATTAACCCATTCGCGGCGATATGAATATTGCTTGCTCATAATTCGTGAAAGGTTTCATTTCTTTATTTGTAGCAAATATTGTACTTCAAAACAACTTTTATCGATGTTTCTCTTATCAATATGAGCTATGAACATTCCTCTATCAAGGGTAAAAAAATCAGCTCCTTTGGTCAAAGGATAGCACAGATATTCAATTTTTTCTACAATAAACGAGTTTTTGGACCACCCTATAGTAGGGCCCACCGGTGGGCCCCATCGACGCGAAAGGGTTAACAATATTATGCGTGGATGCTTCTATATATATTCTCCTGTTCATCGGAACACTATTTCAATTTCGTCTGGACGAAATTAAAATTTTAATTTTGACTAAGAACATATCGGGCGAAATTATAATTTCAATTTCGTCTGGACAAAATTAAAATTTCAATTTTGCCTAGGCAAATTTAAAATTGGGCTGAATTTTAATTTCGACCACAACATATACATACACACAAAAGCAATAGGATATATATTACATAGATAACAAATCAATCAGTTGAAATAGTTAATAGGCAAATGAGGAAAATTTTCCCAAACGTTAAACTTTTTTCAAAAAATTTCCCCGGCTAGAAAAATAAAAAGAAATAAGGTTTCCGTGTATAGGACATATATTTATTATAAAGAAAGGGCATCGAAATAGAGCTACTTCAAAAATAAATAGCGCGATATAGAAAACAACCCGTTTTATTGATCTTCGATTGACTCTGTTAATCTTGGTACTTGTGTTTTTCGTAAACGATTTAGCACAACTGAGCCAGTTGATATAAGTTTGCACGTTTAATATTGTTCACTCTTTTTATAAAATAACCTTTTACTTTTTCCTCAGTAGAATAAACTTTAAAAATACATAAATTAGACTCGTAGTTCTATCATACTTTGTTTAACATGGCAAACAAAACTTCTTCCACTAAATATATCTTTTGAAAGAACAGAGTATGGTCGATTTACTTTGAAAAATCTTCACCTTAAACTATCTTAGAAGCTTAAATTTCAAAACCTATAAGATGACCTACATGATTTTCATGAAAAAGCCGCGTATTTCGTAGTTA